CCATCAGTCATTACGGGTTCGATAGAGAATGCAACGTAGACGTTACCAACAAGTCATTGCGCCTTTGTTGTAAAATATAGTAACAAAACACCGTCTGCACTAACAATACCAACAAGTCGTTACGGTTTTGTTGTAGAATACAACGTCTACAAGTAACGACATACACAAATCAGTATTGTAGAATGCAACGTGCAACAGTAACAATACATACCTATCATTACGAATTTGTTGTAATATACAGCGTAATGCAGTAACGATACCCGCAAGTCATTACGAATTTGTTGTAGATTACAACGTCTAATAGTATCGATACCCTCAAGTCATTACGAATTTGTTGCAGAATACATCGTCTAATAGTAACGATACCCTCAAGTCAGGATTGTAGAATACAATGTACAACAGTAACGGTACCCACCAATCATGCGGATTTGTTGCATTACAAGTAACAGCAGAAACGATACACACACAAGTCATTACGAGTTTGTTGTAGAATACATCGTCTAATAATGACGATACCCTCAAGTCACGATTGTAGAAGTCAGTCAGTCAGTCAGTCATTTCAGGGTTTTGTAGAATATAGCGTAATTATTACTTCAATTTTCGTTCCAGAAATTACGTCATTTTACCAAATAGCGTTTTTTCGGTCACTTTTCAACACAAAATTATGGGCACCAGTCCTCCGTAAAAAGCTTTTATTGCGTCATTATATTTATGTGATACCGGTATTTATATACTATTTTCGTTGCGGCTGATGTCAATCGGGAATCAGAATTGATGTTGTTAGCAGGCACTTCAGCGACCGTGACATAAAGTAATATCAGACGTAATTTACACGATAAAATATATTCGTATTTAAATTGAAGATAATTTATTGCGCTACCGTAAAGTTACGTCGCATATATTGAAGAGGGCGCTGTCCACAAATTACCCACATTTACTACTACCGTGACACATACAGACACGTAAGAGATGTCATAGTCACTACTAAGCGAGGATATAAGGAGCGAAAGATGAGTCCGATCGCTGCCCCGTTGGCAAAACATTCTTCTTTATATAAGGTATAGATGTGAAACAAAATTATTATGCATTTATGTTATTTAACTTTTGTAATGTGATAATCGAATTTCCCCTCACTGAAGCCAATATTTCGAGTTATTTTGAAACTATTTTTAATAAAGATCATGGGTATATGTATATGTAATAACCTCTGCAAGACCTCTTAAAACTTTGCAGCGTGCTAAAATATGAATGTAAACAAATTTAAAAAAAAAAGTGTCTGGCTTTGTTTATATTCTAAAAGTTCAGTGGAAATCATTACTTTTTTATAGTAGTTTATTAGAACAATTAACATTTGATGTGAAAGTGAAGAGAATGAATTGGGTATTCAAATTAACAAAGTCTTACAAGAACGCGTTCTCTGTTATAGTAAACATAGGCGGGACAACTTGCGAAGCCGGATACTTACAAGATTGTACCTGGTTTGCTACACAGCCCTAACATCTAACAGAAGTAACAGACAGAGCAATAGGAGAGAAGCTTATTTGTTCACATGTTTTTACGACGTATCTATACCTTTAGTATATTTATTTTTATTTGTTTATTAGACGCATAAAATCCTTAGGAAAGGATAAAAAAGGGTCTTACAGAAAGAAATTAAAAAAAACAAACTACAATCTAAAAAATAAAACAAAAAATAAAAACCTTTCTAACAAAAATAAAATAAAACAAGTCAAAAACAAGAAAAATACAATTTGCAGCCAATGGTGAATACAGAATATAGAATGAACACAAAATGTGGCCTAATACACTGATAGTTGTTGCTGTTTTGTTCCATAGCTGTTCTTAAGAAGACAGCTAAGGCTGGTGCTAGAGTATGGTTTGCCATAATCAAAATGAATTTATTCTGATTATTTTCATTATCAAAATTTGGAATTTTATTTTGTGCAGTCAGGAATAATTTGTCCCTATGGTGACTGTAAGCTGGACATTTCATTACAAAATGTTGCTCATCCTCAACTATATTTTGGCTGCACATATCACATGTTCTTTTATCCAGCGGCACATTATTATGTCTGCCTTTCTCAATTTTAAGGTCATGGTTGCTTGTCCTGAATTTTGCAATTAACCTTCTAAGACCATGGTTCTGCATATTAATTAGGTAATTTTCAATTTTTAAATCTTGTTTGAAAAGTCTGTATGTTCTTAGTTTGTTTTAGCCAAGGTTTGTTTTCTATTATCATTATGCATGTCTAAGATCCATTGGTTCTCAAATGATTTGTTTATTTTTTTATGAATAAAGTCTAAATTTTTCTTAATTATTTTTTCACTTGAGTTTACAATGGTGACAACATCTAAACCTTGCATGAGGGTTTCTACACTTGTAAACCATTTACTTTTTACATTCTTGTTTACTAAGTAGGCTTCTCTTAGTAATGTGTTATCAGAGTTTGTTACCCGGTTGAAATATATGCTCCGACTCAACTGCAACTTTCTAATCTTATCACGAAAAGAAATGTGGAATTAGTTTATTATCATAAACCTCAAATATAGGTACTTAACATAATCCCATTGATCGCTAAGCATTCAAACTTGTTGACAATAATTCATTTTATTACTTTTAAAATCGCTCAAAACTGGGTACGAATTTCGTGTGACGCTTCGTTACGATGATGCGTCATCAAGAAATGAATTTCAACCAATAATATGTCAAAAGATCATTTTAATCACGGTTATCTTTTTAGTAACCGTGTTTTAATGCATTGTATATTGCTTGTAATGGAAGCGGGCCACAATGAAACTATAATAATAAAAAATAATTCTTCAGGTTTTGTTGAAAATTATTTTGCAAGAGATCGAGAATCGTGGGAAAATTAGGTTATGTGGTTTGAATCATGGAGCTAGCTCCATGTTTGAACGAACGTCTAAGCTCGCCTCGTGGATTATTTCAGATATTTTCTATTACATCATATTCAGTATCCCACACAGGGTGCCCTCCAAGACAATTTGGTGCACCGCGGGCACATAGATATTTCGTAACGCAGTAAGTTGTACTAAATTCTTGGCGCGTGATATAGATAGTCATCTTACGGTACCGTTGTTACCAATTTGAGATAAGGCAGAGTAAATAGTTTCACATATATTTTAGCGTATCTCAGATCGGTAACACTGCACATTTTTAATTTGCAAAGATGAAATTTACAGATTATGAATAAAATATTCGTAAAATCAAATCGAAAGTTTAGTTATACCACAGTCCCTTTAGAGGGACTGTAGTTATACCTTCAATATTTCTCTACCCACACGCACAACTACATTGAATCTTTCTGTACTTTTGAAGACCTCTCTCCCAAGTTATCAACAAGCTTACCTAACTATTTCAGTCCCGTTAGAGCGTACACTGCTACATATTTCCGAATATTCTAATTACAATCATCATATGAAGGTGATGTGAGACCCTTTGGTGACAGATAAAAACTAATTTTATAAATTCCCAACGAGTAGTTAAATCGCAATAGAAAGTGCAGTTGAACACACAAGGCATATACTGGCAATTCCATTACAAATAATATAGTTACCCTCTACTTTTTTGAAATCCTGAGCTGAAATAACGTAGCTAAATGATAATAACAATTTAAGATTTAAAATAAAATTACCTATAGGCTAGCGAAGATTTCGCAAGGTAATGGCATAATATCATTTTGTGCAATCAAGGAATGTAACGCAATCGTGAAAAGCAACAGTAAATTGACAAAATGATGGAATGAACATATTCAATTATGTCAGATGCGTTAAAATATCACACCCGAGACTGCACTGAACTGTAGAGT